ACAGAGCACTGGTGGTGCTGAGGAAAGCAGCGAGACAGCTCAGGACATGAATGTTCCTGGTCTAAAACGGAGCAGATGCAGGGAACAGCAGCATTGGGTGATGCTGCAACATCCGATAAGGCCGACGCAGCTCCGTGTTCACAAACAGCGTCGCCGCGGCCACGGCGCTCAATACTGTACTCTGAGCACGCACATTTGTCAAGCAAAAGACAAATGACAACCTGATTGCTGGATGATTCATGCAAGATGAACTGGCAGGCAGTCATCAGGCTTAGTCACTAATGATGCAGGATATTTCAACAAATGACCTAGTTAAAGGCTAAATATCATTTTATTGATCCTTACTCGGTAGCAAATGTGCTTGTATCTATTTACTGCTGTTTGTTTGTAATTAGCTTCGCGGTGGTGCAACCATGGGCCTCCTGCTTTTGATTTTTTAAAATCAATTCCTTCTTCACTTCTCTTTGCAGAGGGATCAGAAAGCAAGTTAGAACAGCTGCTCAGTGAGCAGCTCGCGGAGTCCCCAGTGCAAGAGGCAGCAGAAACACCCTGGTAACAACGAGAGCAGGTTTCCAGCTTTCCTCAGCTTAGCAGCACGAGATGAGAACCCTGGCACTGCCCCCAGCGCGGGACGAGATGCACGTACCTGCCTGCCATCCTGCCCCACGTTGGTTTGTCCTCTCACTACGGTTCGGATGTTGTCATCCAGCCTCCTGGAGGGGAGAAGCCACAACGTCAAACTCATTCTCCATATGCCCGACTCGAGCGGTTCCTAGGAATCTCCACAACTTAAGAGACCCAATAATAAAAAAAAAGCTGGTGCTGTGAATGCTACAGCCACAGCTATTTCTTTCTCTGCAGGACACATCAATACCTTATGTAATTTAAAAATACTGATGCAAAAGTAAAACTTTATTTCCTAATTTAATCAAGGCTTCCTGCATTGCTCTTTTGTTAGCCACTACCTTCAGCTTTTCCTCATCAATTTCAACCTTTATTTCATTTATTACAGCATTGTCTCAGTCTTTTCAGGTTGCTAACACCAGACTGCATACACTATGTCCTGTATATTTACACTTCTACTATACACTGACAATACCAAGAATGACAAAAATACTTAACAAAAGTTCTACAAATGCTAATTTGACTTTAAAAGCAGGTAATCTGGCTGCTGCTAACTTGTTCTGGCTTGTTATTTTCTCAGCCTTCCAACTGCACTACAGTTTGACACTTTTTGGTTCTTAATTTGCATTTCAAAACTCTACTTCACAACCCACCAGCTATGATCTCTGAATGAAACTTATTACACAATAGGGGCAAAACAAAAGTTTATAATGAGGTGCTTTCATCTGCTCCCCATGCTTTGCCTATCAGATTTGATCTTGATTTGGTTGGAAGATGTGGATAGGTTTATTTCAGACGAGCTACAGCAGAAAAATAGTTTATATAGCTGCTTAGTGAGCAGCTCGGTTGCCACCATCTGAAAAGCAACAAAATAGAAAAGAATTTACCTTATTTTCAATCTGATTTTGTTCACGACCTCATCGATGTTTGCCAAAGACTAGAATATATAAAAAAATAAAAATTAGAGGGTGAAAAGCTGTATTACAGTACACTTCACCGACAGCCAACACGTCCCCACACGTGGCACTTTACAGGAAGAGCAGCAGTACCCTGTACTTAACCAGAACCCGTTGATACAGCTGGGCTTAAACGCAGTGACACATGTGAGGGAGCCACCCCACAGCGCCCAGTCCTCAGCTGCCAAAACACCCCCTTCCCTAATTGCTCAGTCCAAACCTGCCCGTGGGGCTGAGCAGGGACTCTCAAACCTGTGGCTGGGCACCTCATGGCAGCCCCGTTCGTTACAGCTCCAAAGGAACAGGGCAGCTGAAGCAAAGCTGACTAGGGGCACTGCACATACAGCATTTGCCTTATCCAGCTGAAATCCCTGAGGATTCCCTGGTGTTGAATTCACAACAATGATTCACGGCAAGTTATGAAATTAATTGCAAGGGAAACCTATATAGGGAAGTATTTTGCTTCTGCGGATCAAAGCAGAACTTTCACTCCAGTAAACGCTTTGGCGCTAAGGAGTCTGCATGACAGTGAATCTCACTAAATATGAATTCAAGAAGTAATTATTGCTATAGACTTACTGCCTGTGCTGCTGTTCAGAAGAAAAGGCTTTGCCACAGGTTTAAACATGGCCTCATTCATCACCACCAGCTCTCCTGTCATGCTAAAGGAGGGCAGACCTGTGAGCACTACCTACCTGCTCAGTGGGAAACAGGGTATTAATGTACTCCACTGCATTGAAGTCTGCTCTGTCCAGGGGGTCTTGGCTGGGAAATACCTACAGAAGGGAAAAAAAATAACACAGTTACCAATAGATAAGCTTTGCACAGTCTGTACTACTTTAATTGCTGCAGCACTCGCTTCAGGTCCTGTTCACAAGGATGATTTTAGGGAGTCTGAGCAGAGGGCAGCCAGGCCAGCAGCAGAGGAGCTCCAGCTCTGACTGGTCAGGTGGTCTCTGACCTGCTCAAATTGCTGCAGGTGTCACATCGTGTCAGTGCCAGGGGAAAACACAAACACACACACACACACAGAGCTCCCAGCCACAGCCAAAGCGCTCCAGGGAATCTCAAAGGGAATCTCAACACACATTGGCCAATAACTGCGCAGCCCAAACCATGTTGGTGCTTCTGGAGCTGTCTGCAAACGCAAAGCCCTGCTTGGGTTGCGTAAGGGCGGTGGTGAGAGGCACAGGATTTGCTTCTCGCTGCCTTGCAATAGGGAACATGATGATTTAAGAAGCGGTTGTACAAGTTCCCCGAAGAGCTGGGCTTTGCCACGTTCACATGTGCAAAGAAAACATGGAGACAAACAAGATGTGTGGAATGATTCTTCCCGCCCGTGGGCAGAGCGCAGCTGTGCTGCAAACACATTTCACCCGCGCACAGGGGCTGCTGAAACGACGTTACCGAGCGCGGGCGGCTCTTCCTCCCCGCAGACTGCGGCTCGGCCCACC